AAAAATATTAAATTTAAATAAAAAATAAAATTTAAATTTAAATTTTTTAAAAAATATTTTTAAAATACAAAAACAAATAGACCTAGAGTTCAAAATAAAAAGTACAGAAAAAATTGATGGATTTAGATGATTTTAAATAAAATGTTTATTTTAGTTCCACACTTTCTCAATTATAATTATATGGTTTCAAAAATTAAAAATAAAGTTATTTTTTATCTTCAACTTTATTTTTTGATTTTGAGTTTGAGAGATAAAAGAGAAAGTTGCTTAATCCCAATAATAATAAAAAATCATCATTTATCCTAATTAAAACTATATAAAAAAAATAATTTAATGTCAAATGATTTTTTTTTAACATGTAGAGTTTATATTAAATGTTTTTTCCCTTGAACTTGGGTTTTATGATAGATGTGAATTTGTAAATAATTTTGATTTTGAGTTAATTGTGGGTTTTCAAGTTATTTTTTGAGTTATTTAAGATTATAAATATATTTTACAATATATTTATGTTATTTTTTAGTTAAAATATAATTGAAAATAATTTTTTTATTAGTTCTCAATTTAATAGGTGTTTATGTTAAATAAAAAAATTATTGAAAAAAACTGTCTTATCCTAATTTAGCCAATAACTGGATTACAAATTTAATTGGATTAGTAATTAAATTTCATATATTTTTTTAACTACGTAAATTATTATTAATTTATTTAATTAAATGCATCATGAACTTTTTAAATATATAATATATAAAAATTATATTAAGATAAAAATAGTACAATGACGTCTTTTATATATATATATATATATAAAGTAGAGGAGTGTAGGAAAATATTAACCCATTTTTCATGATATAATATTGATGAAAGTTGACTTCTTAATATTTTTTATGTTTTACTTTTTTTATGAAAAATGTACAACTCATGTACGAAAAAATCACCATAACACTTTCATAGTTCGGTTTGAATTTAGAATAAAAAAATATTAATTAAAAAAACTTGCAATTAAAGAATTTTGAAACGATTTATATACAGGATCTAAATAATAAAATCAGAATATATTCATAAAACAAAATATATAGAAAACGTCATTTCCAATAGACCTTTAAAATCAAGGGAAAAAAAAACTAAACCCAGAAATCTTGTGTTTCTTCTCTTTGACCCAACCTTTGTTTGGTTTTTGAGCTTGAATGTTCTTGTCGATTTTTTCTTTTTCTTTTTTTTTATTCAACGGGAAAATAAAAGGATTGTGACAAAAAAAAAGGAAAAAGAAAAAAAAAAACTGTTCATCGTAACACTTCATAGCACAGGGACCAAGCCTAGGTCCTCTCACGACCTCTGCTTGAAACTGAAATCAAAACCTAACCAAATGGGCCATGCCTGATTGATACGTGTGTCGCACCTAAGAATATAACTTTGGTAGTGTCTGTTTCTAATTTGAGTACTTTTGACGTCAAGCGCTACCCTTCTCTTTTTATATAATTAAAATAAAAACAAAAATAAGCACCAACCTTCTCTCTTTATTTATTTTTCTTTTTTTATTCTTTGAAAACTAGGCTTACCCAAACAGAATAATCTCCACGAGTGAGATGCAAAATAAACAAATAAAAAAAACTTTAAAAGTTATAATTAAATTAATTATATTTTAAATTTGCTTTTTAAAGTTCAATAGTTCGATGTGATAAATTTTAGTAATTTTTAATTTTAGAATTTCAAGAAATTAGTAGGTGTGCATCCAAACCAAACTGATTTAAATATCCATAGCTATATATATATATATATATATAAAAGCAAAAAAAAGGTAGAAAGAATGGATTAAAAAGGCCAGTTTTGCTTTCCTTTATGTAAAGTTCTCTTTATGTTTTCAGTTTCTTTATGATAGATGCGTGGCCAGCATGATAATTAATAAATCCGTGGAGATCATGTGAACCTTTATTAATATTTTGTTTCGATTGTTTTAATTATTGGTGGAACTTTATAAGATTCTTGGTGTTTAATTCATGTTGATTGGTAACAAGAGCTTGTATGAGCGTTGATCAGAGGGCGGTGATATTTCAGGAAGCACGGGCTAATAAAGGATAAACAAAGATAAAATCGACCAGATCATTCAAGTTCAAAAGTCAAACAAAGGCTGAGTCAAAGAGCATAAACACAGAATTTCTGGGTTTAATTTTTTTTCCTTGATTTTAAAGGTATATTTGAAATGGAGTTTAATATTTTTTTTTTATGAATTTATCTTAATATTATTATTTAGATATTAGATTTAACAGGTTAACTGAAATTGACCCGGATTAATTATTTTGTACTACTTCTTGTAATTAAATTTTTTTAAATTTCATTCTTTAATATTAAACTAATTAAGAATTGAGCTTTATAATCTTCTTTTATATGTTTTTTATGAGATTATCTTGATCTAATGACTTTGATAATAAGTTTAATTTAAGCTATGTTTATTTTTTTAGTGTTTTTTTTACATAAATATTTTTTTTACTGGACATTGTAATTTTTTTTATTTTATGAAATTATTTTTATTTTATAATTCAGGTAGTAGATTTGATAGGCTGATTCAATTTATTTTTAAAATTTATTTTAAATTAAATAGTTTTTTAATTACATTCTTTAAAAACTTAATTTTTTTGTTTTTTTAATATTAGATTGTTTGAGAATTAGGTTTTATAATTTTTTTCTATGAAGTTATTTTAATCTTATAAGTTTAGTATTTTTTTTAAAAAAATAATTTTTAATATTAGTTAAGTTAAAAATAAAATTTTATGATTTTTTAAATGTTTTTATTAAATTATCTCGGTAAGCCTTCGATCAACCGGTTCTGGAGAACTCGCATACGAGCAAATAGATCGACGTTCGATATTTCTATTTAATAACCGAACTTTATCGACAAGGTCGAGGGGACCATATGATTCTGAATGGGTTGATTTACCGGGGCTGGGAGCTTTTATGACATTTTGAAATGAATCTGGTCGAGAACAGCAAAAGGGACCGTTCCTTCTCTTTTCATTCCATCTCTCCTTATCTTTTTAGACCGGTTCCAGGGAAATTCTTTATTCATGAATAAAATATCCAGTAGTAAAGCAACGAGAATACCTTGAGAAGAACCCTCCACTGTCTGCTGGAAGGCGCCAGATTGAAGGTGCCGATGAAGAAGAGAAGACGGTGCTCTTAGCTCGGAAGGTGTTACCTTACCAGTTTAACAGGATAATTTAAATTTTTTTTATTAATTTATTTTAAATTTTATCTTTTTTTACAAGAGTTAGTTGAAATCAAGCTTTAAATTTTTTTATTTATTTTTTAAATAATTATTTTAATTTTATAATCTAAATTGCAGATTAAACAAGTTCATTTACGTTGATTATGTTTATTTATTAGTATCTTTTTTAATTGAATATTTTTAAATTGAATTTCATGAATTTTTATTTATATTTTATATGATTATTATAATTTCATATTACTGGTTATGAGTTTGATAAGTTGGTTAGGTTGACTCGGTTCATTTTTCCAAGTCCTTTTTTAATTGATTCTATTTTTCAATATCACTCTCTAACAACTCAATTTTATTTTTTTATAGTTTATTTTTTTAATTTTATCCTTTAATATTAAGTTTGAAAATTAGACTTATTAATTTTTTTTAATTTTATTTCTATAAAGTTATTCTAATATCATGAATTTAGGTTTTTTCTCTTGATTTAAATCTTTAATGCTAGATTTGTTAGAAGAGGAGCTTTGTATTTTTTTTATTTTTTATTAAGTTATTTTGATTTCATAATTCAAGTCGTGAGTTTAACATATTAATCTCAGTTCATCATGATTATTTTTTTATTATTTTTTTAATTGATTTTTTTTTAATTTTATTATTCAATATTGAATGGTTGGAAATTGGGCTTCATATTTTTTATTTATTTTATATGAAGTTATTTCAATTTTATAATTCAGATTATAGATTTGGTAGGTTAACATAAATTAATTCAGATAGTTTTTGTTTTTTTTTAATAGTTTTTTTTTAATTTCATCATTCAATATTTGATTGATTAAAAATTGATTTTTATAATTTATTTTAATTTACTGTTTATAGAATTATCACAGTCTCATAACATGAGTTATATATTTATGTCACTATATCAATAAAAAAATATTATTTAATATATATTATATTTTGAGTTGATGATTAAGTTTTTTTATTAAAAAACAAGTTGGCAACGCTAAAATATTTTTTTATATTGAAAAAATTGGTTTTATCCACAGTGAAATGCATGACAATTACTAGTAATTTTTATTTTGTGACAACAACCACACAATTATGAAGACCACAGGTAAAATCAGGATATTTTGAAATGTTTTTAATATTGTAATAGCTTTGTATAATTGTGGTATGAAAATGTAGTCCTTAAACGGAGAATGGAAATAAAAGCTTCTTAAGGCAGGTGACATGTTTTCTAATAGAATTTAAAAAGTGACCAGTTAGGTGGGTCTATATATGTAGCTTTCTATCACAGCTATCTTCACCCATCAGCGAAGTGGCAAGCACATGTCAAAAAATTCACATGCCAAGCGTATCCTGTTCACTGTTGACGTGGTTGGAGCGATTGACAAATAAGAGAATTCCACATGTCTTGACTAATTTTAGAGCTTTATTTTCCTCTGAGCGGGAATATAAATTTACACCTAAAAATGAATAATCCTACAATTTTTGGTACAACATCACACCTACTCATTAGAATGGTTTATTTTTATATTTTTAAAAATATATAAAAAAATTTATTTTTTATTTATTTTAAATTAATATATTTTTAATATTTTTAAATTATTTTAATGTATTGATATCAAAAATAATTTTTTATTACAGAATTTTATTTAAAATATTTTTTGTATTTTAACTCCTATAAAAATATTTTTTTCCAACTTTATCTTTAATAATATTTATATATTTAATTGAAATAATAAAATAACTAAAATTTTAACTCCTTTTAATTTTATTTTCTGTTACGTCCCTGAATAAAGGAATGCAACATATTATATTACAGAGCAATTGCCCTGCAGAATGAAAAATAAGAACATACTATTAAAAAAGAAAAGGAGGATAGAGAAGGTCGATTTCAGACCTTGTCTAATTCATCCAGCTCACAAGTTTCAGTAGAATTCCTTCTTCTTACTCTCTTACAAAGCAAGATCACCCCAACCCAGATAAGACCCTTCACAAGTCTTACCATTCCAATTGTTACCGTCAGGTAATACAGCCACCAACCAACCATGTCAGCCACTGCTAAATCCATCAGCAGCTCTATCTTTGCCTCTGCCACAAAAACCAGAGACTCAACTTCATTCCTTAACCTCCACCACCACAAAGTACCACAGCTCAAAGCTACAGTCAGCCTTTGTTCCCACTTCTCGTCTCTAGCCGCACCAAAAATGGTGTCATCAACCACTGGCTTAACAACAGTCCTGGACCAATGGATCATGGTCTCATGCAACCCCAAGAAAAATATAACTCTACTCAAGAAACTTCTTTGAATATCAAAACCAGAACCATCGAACATCCCAGCAGATACGCTGCGTTGAACGCCCAAGCCAACACAAATCTGTAGCGTACATAACATAATCCATGCAGTGTACAATCCGGGTCGGGAAGTTGCGCCTGTTGACTCACTTAGAAGGGTGATTTTTCCTGTCAAGCCATGAATAAGAGTGGCTATGCTAACAACTGAAACAAGAAAGTACAGAACTGCTGTATTGATTGACAGGAATAAAGATGTGATGAAAGAAGATGGTTGTTGTTGTACAGGATCAGACGTGATGGTCAGCAGATAGTTGTAACTAGAGAGTCTGGTCAGGAGGAGAAATGAGAGGGGCAGCAAGAGACTGAGGAGGGTAATGATCAAGATATGGAAGGGTTCTATGAAGATGGCGCAGCCTAAGAGCTTTTTTGCCTTCTTTTGCAACCCCATGGTTTTGTCCTGGAGCAGATACGACTTGGTTACATGACAAGAAACATAAAATGAGGTCTAAATTTATGTGACAGATGAAAGTGGTTATCACGTCCATGGCTTAAATTAGTTGAGACAGGGCACTGTCCTAGCCCATGCCCTTTTTTTTTTTAATGGCCTGATCATGGAAAACGCCGATAGGATGTCCCCCTCAGCGGTTGAGGCTATTTTTTTTATTTTACTCTTTGTTAGTTTGGTGGTTACCATTTTAAAATTATTTTGCTTCTAATTCTTTTTGGATTATAGGTAGGGGTAGGTCTAACTTGTTGTTTATGGTTGGATATTTTTTTCACAAAATAATAATAATAATAATTAAATATTCAGGTTTTTTACATAAAAAATTTTCAAATGTAAATTAAAAACTTATATATACATGTAATTAATTAAATTAAGAATTATATATATAAATAAATAAATAATTCAGCAAAAATAATAAAAAACCAAAACTAGAAAAATAAAGAGATAAAAGTATATCAATATATCTGATCTTGTAATAAGGGTTATTTATCCGGTTGTTTTTTATAAATTTTTTTTATTAAAATTTATTTTTTATTTCATTAAATAATAATAAAAATATAAAATTGATTAAATAAAATAAAAGAGAAGAAACTATTATGCAATGCTCTATATATTAGAAAAATAATTAAAAAATAAATATTTTTTATTTTTAAAAATAAAGTTCATCTATATAAAATATAAAAAATTATAAATGACTTAGAATAATCTTTTTAAAAATTAAATATATATATATATAAAATAAAAAACAGTAACTATTTAAAAAATGCTAGATAAGCCAAATAAAAAATACATAGAATAGTATTAATTGAAATATAAATTAAAAAATTATTACAAAAACATATTTTATTATAAAAGAAATGCAAATACAAATGAAAAGAAAGAAGGGCTGCTACGTCTGGCTCATTTGAAAAGGGCCCACGTGGAGACCCTTAATTTTTTAAAAAGCTAAGGGTGTGGTCCTAACTTTTTTTAAAAAATAAGTTAAATAACACGTTGTCTGCAACAGTAGGATTCCATGTTCGAAAAATATAGCCTTATAATTTTTTGATTTAGAAACATAATTTTTAATTTATTTTTTTATTTAAAACACTATAAATATTTTGATAAACTCATTAGTAATCTTAAAAAATCAAAATAAAAAACCATAAAAAAACTCAAAATCAACTTAAAATCAAAATTTTCTCAAACTCATAATTCAGTGATAATTTGTTAACACTTAAATAAAATTCTTCTTATCAAATAAGATTTGTTAAAATTAATATTAATTATTTTAATTATCAGAACTGATATAATAATAATTTTGAATGATTAAAATAAAAAATCCACTGCTCCAAACCACAGCGAAATATGATAGGGAGCATAGTAAAAAGTTATATCGAGAAAATGTCACACCGCTTAGTTTCTTTTATTATATAACGTTTTGCATGATTACAGGTTATCGACCCTAACTGACTTAATAGGAACTAGTTTTCAAGGTAGTGCCACGTACCGGTTATCGACCCTAATTGACTTAATAGGAACTAGTTTTCGTGATAGTGCCATGTTGTGGCTTAAGTAAATAAAAATAAAGTGAAAAAATAAAAATAAAAATAATATAAAAAAATTCAAGCAAAAAACCATTTAATATTTTGATTAAACTCGACTAAAACATGTGAGTCCTGAAACCTTAACTTGACTTTTTATCCAATCTGAATTTATAATTAAATTACATAAGAATTATATTAATATAATCTAGTCAATTAGGGATCTAAAGACAATCCACATGACAGATAAAAAGGTTATTTGACTTTTAAAAATTTAAAATCAAGATGATCTTTATTTTTTAATTTTGATATAGTAATGTATTAAATCGACCCAAATTTTATGACTTAACCGATTAAATCCGCAATCCGGGTGATGGACTTTACTATATTTAAAAAATTTATTTTTTTAAATAAAATTATTTTTTTACTTAATTAAACAAAAAAAGATACTTGTAAAATCAAGTATAAATAAAATGTTAAAATATTTATTTTATATTAGAATAATTTTATAGAAAGTAAATTAAAATAATTTATAAAAGTAAATTTAAGATTAATAAATATTAAAGAATAAAACTAAAAAAAATGACAGAAAGAAAAGGAAAGGGAAAATGCGAAAAAAAGAGGGATAAAATGCAGGGAAAAAGCAGCCACCTCCCTCGTTATTTATTTACGTTGCAACCAAAGTTTTTAAGCATATAAAGTACAAATATTTATCAACCTTCTAAACTGAACAGAGGAAGTTTAGCCAACTCACATCCAAAATTCCTCGTCTCTCTCTATTAAGCTAGCTGCAATAAATACGACCTAAAAACTTTGTGCTATGCACCGGCAAATATTAAAAAACATAGAAATTCTCTAAAACGCTGTGTTTCAAAAGAAAAGTTCCAGATCATTTTATCCCATTGTTTTTTTTTTTTTTGAGAGGCATGCATTAACCCTTTATATTAATTGCATTATCTATTAGTGAAGTCAGCGGATTAGATAGACAAGTAGAGAGAACATGTGCCAATCATTCTTCTTTTGTGCTATATTTTGAGTGGAGGAGTATATCGACGTTGTTAATTTTCTATGGATTGTTATTTATTTATATTTCCTGATATATATTTAGTTGGAGTTAGTAGAATATTTCATTATTGTATTAGTAATTGATGCCCTATAATTTCTTACATAAATATCGTGTGATGAACATGGCAGATTTTGACCAGTTCCCTTAACGTACTTGTCGGCATGACGTTTGCCACCAGTCTTCCAATCAATTTCCTGATATATATAATTAATTATAAGAGGTACTGCAACTTATAATATTTTGAGTTTACTTCTTAAATATCATCAATTAATTTAATTATTATAAGTTTTAAAATTATTAAAGATTTATCTGATTATTAATTTTAGAGCCTCAAAAAATTAGTCAAGAAGCTTGTAAGCTGACTATACATTCACAGTTACCCAACAAATATTCTTGATATATATTTATTGATGAGTATCATGTTATTTTTTGCTTGTAAATAATGTTTTATTATTTTTTTGGGATAAAAAAGATGAAAACAATAAAAATATAAATATTTTTAGTTGAAAAAAATATAAAGATATAAAAATAAATATTATTAGACTGGTTGATCCTCGAGTCAAGTTTTAAAACCATGATAATAACCATTTTTATCCTTATATTAACCTGAGTTAATATTCAACCCCTCTCGTGACCCATGCATTGCTACGTGTCTATCCCCAAAATAAATTTTAAAATTATAAAAATAACTATTTTTATTTTTACGCTGACTTGGATCAATTCGAATTAACCAACTCATGACACAAGCTTTGCCTCGAATTGATTTCTGAGTTAGATTTTAAAACTATAATAATAACCATTTTTATCCTTATATGTTTTAGTTGAATAATGTTGGAATTGAAAGTTTTTTTACATGGATATTCAGAAATAAAGAATAAAAAATATTGTCTTTGGAAACATGTTCCTTATGTACCTCTTGTTTTAAAAGTATAAAAATTCAGTCCAAAATTATCCTATAAATAAATTTATTTTTATATCTTTTTTTTTCTCTTCAACCAAATATATTTCTCTCTTTGTCCCATAATAATAACAAAATGCTACTTTAGGAACGAGGATGGTTGTTTACAATAATGGGTTTTAATACAATTGTAATTATATATAGAAAAAGAAGGAAAATTGATAATGTCTTAAAAAATCCAAATAACCTAAAAATAAGATTCTTAAATTGAATAATCGGTTAATCAATTGGTCATAATAATAACATTAATTATCTCTAGCCAATGTGGTTGATAGCTTACACTTGGTGTTTGGTAGGCAAAGGTGGCTTGTTGTTAACACTTGCTAAAAGTCTCTTTTAGTGGAGTTAGAGACTTTCTGGTGCTTAAATAAATATTTTTTTATAGAAAAAAATATAATAATATTATAGAGAAAGATGTTATGAAAATATATATGTAATAGAGAATAAAGTTTACAAACCTTTATTTTAAAGGTCTTATAATGTATTTATAGCCTATAAATTATTTTCTCTTGTAAAGAGAAGAGTCTAAAGTATAATTTTACTCTTGTGATATTTTGAGTTATATTTTACTTAAAATAATTCGCATTGGATCAATATAAAATACTGAGAGACTCGCATGGGGTCTCGAAAAAATTCTTTAGTGAGTGTTGGGCTCAAGTAAGGTGCCCAAACTCATCAAAGGTGAAAGTGAGTATGAGTGCACTGCCTAGACCCAAATACACTAGGTTCGAATGTCATAGCCTAAATCAATAAAAGGCAAAAGTAGTTTCAGGCACGCTATCAAGACCCAAACACGCTAGGCTTGACCGTGACAACCCAAGCCCATGAAGTGTGAAAGTGAGATCGAGTGCATTACTTGGACCTAAACATGCGTGGGCTTGAGTGTGACAATCCGAGTCAATGAGGGGTGAAAGTGGAAGCATTGTCAGGACCCAAAAACACCGAGTTCTAACGTATTAGATGTAAAAAATAGATTTAGACGTGATGCCTCAACCCAAACATGTTGGATTCGAGATGCATTCTCAAACCTAAACAAGTGAGGCTCAGGCATAGAAGCCCGAGCCCACAGTAATATTGGGCATATCATGCCCATACTAGGTATACGTCTTGCATGGGTTCAGATCTCTTGCCCAAGTCAATACCCTCTAAAGAGTTGATTTCTAGTTATTATATTTGAGTTCACTCTCCATGAGCCCCTGTTATACTTTCAGCTTGAGATACCAAATTTGAGCCCAAATCTAAAAAATATTCTTGTTGGTCTAGTTGAGGGGGTTTTGGGTTCATTTTATATCTTCCCACCAAAAACCATTAATTATAACGTATTGTTACCTAAATTTTAAGCATGGATAATCGTCATCCAAAAAAAGAAACTGCATTAAAATTAGTTGTAAGCTTGGGCAAGAATAAAGGGCACCAACCTCAAACTACTACTTCCATGCAAAATAATTTAGAGTCCTAACCAACCAGAGGAAGACTTGGCTCAAAATTTAGAAGATTAGTCACTTTCCATGTCTTCCTTAATAACATCAATTCCACAAATGCCTCGGGGATGCTTTCAAAATTATTTCCCTCTCATGGTGCGGATTTCTAAACTGCAATGGAACTAACATGCTGTGGTCGAATGACTGCAATCTGACTATTCACTCCTTTTCTTAACTAATTTCGAGCTCCTTTGTTTGTTTCTCATTGTATTTGGCTTAAATGACACGTTGATTGAGATGTTTATTTCAGATGTAGTTTTTTTTTTCAATAATAAAAGTATTATATATGTGTCAATTAAAACTAAATTTTTTGAGTGATAAAAAAACATTAAAGAATAGAAGAAACCTCTTTAACTACAAAGCTAATCTATTAAACATCCATCCACTTATATTTTAAGGGAGTGATTTTGAAGGTTTTTATAGATGTTATACGGAGTTGCAGTGCAATCTGTGATTCATGATTTTTAATTTTTTTTAAATTAATATTTTTAATATTTTTAGATTATTTTAATGTACTAATTTTAAAAAATAAATTTTTTTTTAATAAATTTTAAATAAAAAACACTTTAAAAATAACCTTTTTAAACAGTTCCTAAACACCCATCCATTGCACAATTGCTGCTGATACAATTAAATCATGGTAATTATTCTTCTTTTTTTCTTTTCTTGGCTTTTTTTTTTTTGTTTGCAGGAGAGAGCACACAAATTTAAAAGGTTGTTTTCTTTTCTTCCCGCCACCCAGCCGGTGCTATGCATGATGCTTAAACTTTATAATTTTTATTTCAGTAGCGAGAGAAAGGAAAAAAAAACAAAAAAAGAAAAGGAACAAAGCATTAATTACGTCGTTATCCTTATCTCAGTGGTTAACGTTTCTACATCAGCGCCACCCAGTGAGATCAGAACAATTTTTAATGACAGACTGCTCGTGCTTGCTTTTATCTGAACAGTTCCCGGCCCACAGGGGTTGGAGAGTGTCATGTCCTGCAGCCGGCAGCTATTTTTTTTAGATCAATATGGGTTATCGATTTGTTTTTGAAAATGTTTTTTTAATAAATTAAAATAATATGTTTTATTTTAAAATTTATTTTTAATGTTAATGATTAAAAATACTATTCATTAAAATAATCTAAAAATATTTAAAAAATTAATTTAAAATAAAAATAAATAGATTTTATCCTTAGCAACATCTTTTGCAGCTCAGCTCTACCTACCAATCTATCTCCATTAAGTTTGCCCTTCACCTCATCTCTTAGGTTATCAGAAAGGGGACATAGGGCAGCCCTGCTTGGGCAAAATTAGGAAACCTCTCTTAATTAACTTGTCCTCTTACATTTTATGGTTCATCCCAGGAAGGTTGCTTGTTGCTAATATGTGCAATGACATTGTCACCTCACCAAATCCAGCAGTAACCAAATGCATTGCATCTTTTTATGCTTGGCATGTTCCGAAATGTGTCTGCACCCACAATAGAAGAAGAAGAAGAAGAAGAAGAAGAAGAATTATTTCTTACATGGCATGCTGACCGAGATAAGAAGTTCCACATGGCAAATCCAAAATGTGCATGGACACAGAGATGGTCTCGCTCTTCTTTCAGCCAATCAAGTGGAGGGAGGGATGGGGCCATAATGTTTTTCCCATATGAAACAAATATCTTGACACATTGATGAGCAACTGTGTGGGTGGGTTTATTTTATATCAAGTTGGGGTGTTGCTGATATATACATGGTTGTTCATTGCTTTAATATAATATAAATGTGTGAAAAGAAAAATGAGAGAAAGCAAAATATTGAGGTTCCTGTCATCTATTGCCTAACTTCCTTCTCTCCTTTCCCTTTTCTCTCTCTTAATCAATTTGATTCGAGTATGATCCCAATCCTCATCTTTCCTCTTTCACTGACTTCCCCTTGTTGATATTCAGAGCAATTCTGTGTTTCTTCAAAGCATTTTCGGGCATAAGTTAGTAAGAAGCGGCATAGCAGCAAAAGGTGTGTCATGGATAGTTCTCCCTCTAGAAAATTGGACTCTAATGTTTCCGAACTCACCCCAGAAACTCAGACATCTAAAAGAAGGTGGGTTGGTGCTCTTCTTTCTTGCTTTTGTTTTCTTTTATATTCTCGTCAAGTATAATTTCATTTTGAAAAGGTAGTTGATTTTGATGCATGCATGTTTCTTCCCAGGCTTATTCTATACTTTATACCACTGATTTATTTGAGAATATTGTGCTTGTTTTGTAGGAAGATGGTTGAGAAGATTGTTGTTAGAGTGAGGATTGGAGAAAATGCTCGGAAATTAAAGAACGAAGGGCCACCTTCTGATTTCTGGTCTTGGAGGAAATATGGGCAAAAACCTATCAAAGGATCTCCTTATCCAAGGTTTACCATCTTCTTTCAATAATTTTTGGATCAAGTCTCTTCTCTCTTCACTATATATGTCTTTATGGTCTAATATGTTTTTTTTTTCTTCTTAATTACAGTAGATCAATCAACGCAACTCATACTTTTTGCTAATGTTAATTTTGTAGCTCGCATTTTAGAGTTAAAAAGTGAAAATCTTCTCTCTATCCTTTGGATTTTGCCAAAATGTTTCAAATACTACTTTTGTCCATCATTGTTTCTCCATGATGGTTTTTCCTATACAAAGCAAGAGTACTTGTCACTGGTTTTCATGCTTCTCTCTGCATGCAGGGGCTATTACAGGTGCAGTACATCAAAGGGCTGTTCAGCCAAGAAACAAGTGGAAAGATGCAGGACAGATGCTTCGGTACTCATCGTTACTTACACCTCAAATCACAACCATCCAGGTCCTGATCTCCATGACTCTAACGTGAACCAACAACCAAGAGATCCAGAAACCCCACCGACTGATCTTGTAGATCATCCCATAACTCCCAAACAAGAGAAACCAGAAGAAGAAACAGGAGAAAGGCACGATCATCCCATCATGCCAAGCACTGATGAAGATGTCAGTGAAGGTCACAATTTTCACTACTTAGAATCCCCAATAAGAATTCCTCAAGATATCATGATTAGCCAGGACTACCCTTTCACTGAGAACTCGGAGAAAAGTCATGACATTGTCTTCGACGAAGAGCCCATCTGTTGCTCCAGACTGATGACATTTTCAGCACCCAAAACAGAAGAGAACAATGACTTCTTTGATGAACTAGAAGAGCTACCCCACATCTTCGTCTTTCACTAGCTTCACGAGGGGCAGTTTTTTCGATGAAAGGATTCCTGTTGTCCCTTCTTGATTCTAGTTATTGTTTATATATTTTTTTGCCTTTTGGGGCTTCCTGCCTGGAAAAATGTAGTTAAAAATGTCCATGTACAATATAGGGCACTTCTAGTGGTAGTTGTTACTTGTGTAGTTTTTCTTCCAAGTGAGTAAAGTAGTAATAAAGTTGCACACTAACACAGAAGGTAGTGGAGTAATGTATCATCTTTTATAATTAGGTTTCTTGAGATTCAGACTAAATGCTCTTGACAGACGAGGAACCCACATCTTTCACAGTGAAGGAGGAGAGAAGGGGGGCCGGCCTCCTGTGTTTGGTTGTTGGGTGCGTGTTTTTGTATTTAAAATTAAACAAGGCACGAGGTTCACGAGTGAGTGCTTAAAGATATCTTATGAGATAAGTCTCTCTCTCTCTCTCGGTTACTTTTTGGTGAGTGCGTGATTTGGTGGGAGAGATGTTTGGCCTTTTTGGAAGGTGCCTTGTTGTGCAGCTATGATTGAGCAATGCTAAGTATCGCCCTTGTCAAAATATAATGGTGCCCTGCTCTATGTTTGTTGGGGCTGGGAGTAGCTGTGGTTGTTTTTGGTTTTTTATTTAGAAATATATTAAAATAATATTTTTTATTTAATAAAAAATATTTATTAAATTAATATATTAAAATGATTTAAAAATATTTAAAAATATTAATTTATATAAAGAATATTAATTTGAAGTAAAGAAAAAAAATAAAAAAATTAAATTTTTTTAAATATATTTTTAAAATGCAAAAATAAACAAGACTGATAAATATGTTGGCAGTCGTAGATTTTGCTGTGGCAAGGTGAATTCAACGGATACTTTTTTTTTGTTGGGGAAAGGATAGG